CGGCATTCTTCCAAATCGGTCAAGGACCGCTTTCAGCACCTCTCCTGGTCACTTGGTTTGTGGGGTTTCAATTCCATATATATATATATATCACTCATTGATATTTTCGGGCATAGCATTATACTTGTGGCTCTTTAAATTTTGCTAATATTGTTAGTGATAAACTTTCAGCAATATTTGGCGTTCATTTGCAGTATTACATAGCTGAGTCATTATGTCAGTTTGAAAACACGCACAAAAATAAGTCACAAACTACGTATGAATAAGAGTTGAGATTACAAATACCAACTGCAAAGTTTATAATAATGAATTGAATGTCACCACAAGCTACCAAAAATCGACCCACCTTGCATTATTCGAGCTTCATGCGATTGTCTTGTGTCGTCAGTAAAGGAATGTTGCAAAATTGAATTGTGAGAATGATTTTTATAAATGTTCGTAGCAGTTCTACTGTACAGATGATGGTAAAATGAATTGGGCAATAGCAATACGGCAATGAAAACAGTGATTAACACGCAAACAATAACCGGTGTCTTTAGCTGTCGAATTAAATAATGACGGAAAAACCAGTAAAAAGATTTAGCAGATCTCATGATGTCTTTTAAAGTTGTATGCTTTGCTTGTAAAATAAGTATTAACCTTCGTTGTTTTATTGAAGCTCAAATAATAAATCTTTTCAAGTTTAAATTCAACAGCAGTTTGTTTGCAAGAATTTTTATGATATCTGAAAGTACCAATTAAAATTTCAAGCATACACATTGATTTGTCATATGCTAGAAAATAATATTGTAGTTTTGCAAGTTAACAAAAACAGATGAGTTGGGAACTTGTTCAAAGGACATTCCTTGTGAGCTGTGCAGTTGTTTCTTGATATGAACTTTCTTCTGCTACCACTAGATTTATAGAACAATCAAGAAAAAGTTTTCATTATTCACCAACGTATGAAAATTTTGAAAATTCTAAAATGACCCTGAAAATATTGAGATGATATACAAATGAGCAAGTGAAGAGTGGAAAACGAAAACATTGCTGCTGTTGTGGCTGATAATGATGATGAGAACGGTATTTAAAATGAAATTTATTTCAAGCTGCAGGAGCTTCCTATGAGTGGTCTTTTGCTGTAATTCATATAAAGCATTTCTGTTCGATGTATCTACAACATAAAACCTGTAGAATAGAATCTACAAAATAAAGCACCTTTTCACCAACAAAAATTTTTGCTATTGTGACTCCACTGGTTGCAATATATAATTTTCCGTTATTTAGCACCCACCTTTTGCTTTTTATCGGTTCCTAAACTTTTGGATTGCAGTTTGTCGATAATATTATTATTTCAACTGCAACCATAATCATATGACACAATAATATTATAAATCACATTAATAATAATAGCAATAAATACATATCTGTTATTATTGCTAACTGCGTCCAAGATACAAGCTTTATAATGATGTTAACCATAGAAGTACTGCTCGCTGAACAGCAACTACCGATAAAAAACAAATATTCCAATTAATAAGTAATGTTGCTAATGAAAAAAGACCACAAACATTAGTAGTTTTACTGTTTCCCTTCTCCAGGATCGGAAGAATCCTAGATTATGCCTCAACCTCGATAATAATTATCTAACGCTAGCAAGTGGCTTGCCAGAGTGTCTATACTGACCCTTAAACCAAGAAACTTTACATTTTGCTATTACACGACGCACCTCCCTACTAGTTCCTGTGCCAAAACAATTTTGAAACAAGATATACCGATTTGTCAGAAATGAATCATAAAGCAAACACCACTATAAGTGACCTGTTTCATAGCATTTCAAAATTCGCCTTTGCCTCATACGAAAATAATTGTCATCAATCGTGCGTAACTAACGGTTTATCCTATCTCCTTTGTTTGACACATTCTGTAATGCCGACTTTTGTCTAAATGAATGCAAGTCGATAACACCTTCTTAATATCAGTAGAAGTCAGTACTTAAGGAGTACTTGTAAATGTCTCAAATAAGTATATACTTTAATATACATTAGTCATTCAAAATATGCAAACAATAGCTATTAGTGTAACTCTTAACATTATGCACAACATAAATTAATACTATAATATTTAGAAATAACGCTTCTATTCTGAATGAAAAATGATAATATTGGAAATATGAAGTGTGGAGAATTTGCATTACGATTGAGACAAAAAAAACAATGAAACAAACCATCGTTTTTCTAACAATGAGTAGTAATCAGCCAACATGCTGGATCTATCAAGTAATTTAAAACAGGTTAACAAAAAAAAAAAAAAAGAAATTGAAAAATTCAAAACTAATAGTTGGCTTTTTTACAAATTAACATGATTCAAAATTCATGAAATGTTGAAAATTTAAACAAAGATTAAGACCAAATAATTTTGAAAGGTTATTAGTAATTATACTAATATTATCATCATGAAATTCGCAGCTGTTCACAGAATCCCAATTCATTTTGATTTCTTCTGACCATGTTAATTTTGTACAAGGAGTATTGAAAATCTGAAAAATAACTTGAATATATATTTTTAAAATATTGTCAGGAAGAAATTAATGAAACAGCACAAAAACTGATTTTTGAGAGAGCGAAATGTTTCTTAAGGTACCTGCAACTGAATTTTACAACGAAATCGAAGTAAACAAAAATAATGTAATAAATCTAAACAAAATATGTACCAACATGTAATTGCATGAAATTGATGATAATCTTATAGTGAGAATCATCCATTTCCATCTGAATTTCTGGCTCTAACTGCCTGTTTTCCGATATCTTTTTTACGAAAACAAGAGGTAACATTGGCTGAAAAAAATATAAAGCGATACATCTTTCCAACAATGATCCAGAGAGCCAAATTCATTAAATACCTCTGTTTTAGATGTATACGTATAATTTTCAACTATTTGTTGGAGCTGATGTTGGCAATTTTGACTTAATGACTCTTCTTGAGGAGAATATAAGCCTCGTGTAGCATAAACTTCGCACTGATCTTTTGATATTTTGCAAAACTGACATTCATCGTCGAGCGCCTTGAAAAATAGTAAGTTGAAGTCCACTATCAAATACTGAATACTCTTCGCAATTTTCTTTCAAAATACATATCTCATTATCAATTTCCACTACCATGCTTTTACTTTTTCTTCACTGAAATTTTCGCTAAATTCCCACCACAATATTTCTTCTAAATATTGCAAATTAAAAACATGAACATACTTTTATAGGTGAAACAGAGTACAGAATTCTTATGCTGCGAGTGACATCTGCAAGCAACTGCAAGTTCGGGAATTCATGAGCATGGTGCAAAATGGAGTTATGCAACGAATAAAGAAAACCTGGACTGCAAAATCCTAACTGTATTTCTGGCCCATCGTTATCAAGTAATGCCTGCAAGGGATAGGGCAAAAAAAGTACCATAATATTTACAAAAAATTAAGAAAATCTTGCATTACAAAACGTATTAATATTACAACTTGATACCAGTGCCAGACTGCTATAAGATAATACTCCCTATTGAGGCATTATGGAAGTGAATGCTGAAATAATTAATAATTTAGTGAACAAAGTAGACCGACAAGTACAATTTATGTTCAGTGTCGATGCACATACAATAAGCTAAACACAATATCAAAAGTGAAAAGTAGATTAACCAGAATCCAAAACTTTAATATCAAATTTTTACTTCCATGCAAAACTGAACTCCATAAGCAAGAGAATCGGCGAAATATCCACCTTCCATCAGCATGCATAATGGTGCGGAAATTGCTGCAGCAGCATCAACAACCAGTTTTGTCATCCAATAATAACCTGCTGGAGTCAAGTTCATGTTTCCCTCTTCGTCACCTAGAAAAAAAAATAGAAATCACCAAAAACCAAACAAATATGTTCAACAGAATTTTATATGATACGAATATTTCTTCGATATATATCAGATGATTTTAATATCAATTTTATGAAAACCATACCCAGCATTTTAAATGTACCATTACAATATAAGAACATGAATATTAATGAATACCATATGCTGCATCAAATCCAGCTGATATCAAAATCAAGTTTGGAAGAAAATCGAATATTACAGGGACCACTAAATGTTGTATGAATGAAACATATTCTGAATCACCAAAACCAGTTCCATTCAAAGGCACATTTATAGTATTATCATCTACAAATTAATTAATATTAGGTTTATGAATTCTAAAAAATACAAGTTAAAATGACCACAAAAACTAGCAGTTGTGAGTAATTGCACTTTCGCACAAATGTGGCCAAAATAAGCCATGCTCATAACGATGTATTGATATCAATTTAATATTTGGATCATCAGCGATAGCATACTGAGTTCCTTGACCGGCATGGACATCCCAATCAATTATCAAAACTTTTTCAACCCCAAGAGTTCGAGCCTGAAAGTGATAGCATTCAGTAAAGAAAACAATAAGCCACCAGATCTCAAATCTTAATACAGAATTAATAATTAAGATATAAAAGCCATAAAAGTAAGATGAAATTTTAAAAAAGTAATTTTGAATCGACTCATAACAGATATAAAAATACTTATTCACAGTCTTTGGAAATAAATTGAAGTTATAAACTGCGCATTTATCATAATAATTATAAATTATGAAATACGTGTTCCTCGTACTAAAATTTATACAACAGCAACAGCAAGGAATTTCATTTCTGTTTACATTAATAGAGATGTGAATACTTTTGTTTAGCATACCTTTTTAGCACATATAGCTACATTGTTGAAAATGCAAAAACCGCACGCTTTTTCAAATGATGCGTGATGACCTGGTGGCCGCACTGCTGCGAATGATGCGCTATTTCTAGAATAAACTTTTGGCTGTTTACAAAAATTTTCAATACTTGGACATTACAATCAAAGATATTATTTTACCCGATTATATGTTTGCCAATAACTAGATAAAATGAAGGCCTTTTATATTAATTATTATAAAAGTTCCAACATTTTCAATATTTCAAAAATCAGGATTTTTTTGACTAGAAATAATAACAATAGCATTTTGGGAGATATCGAGTATTAAAAAAAACAAGCGTCAATAAGTATTCATACATTTTATTTTATAAGAGCAGCAACTAAATGCATATAGATGTCAAGAAATGTAGACCTCGTATTCGTTGAAAGAACAGCTTCCAAGGTTAACAATGACACACCAGCACTAATTAAAGCTGCTCTGTAAGAGTGATTATTCAAATAGATATCATCGAAAGTTGATGCAAACTTTTCGAGCTCTTCCTAAAAGCCTAATTAAGACATGACACCGTAAAATTGATTAGAGAAATCATCAACAATTTACAACTTCCCCAATCGGAAAACAGCAATCAGTCAGTTTTACCCGGAACAGTTTATATTAGAAATTTGTAAGAAGACAACTTCATGCCTTAAAAAAAATTACTTAATTCATGTGTTCTATACGGGTAAACTGTTCCGAAAAATTACTAAAGTCATGTGCTCCGTACTAGCAAACTGTTCAATGTAATGTCTGCTATGAACCAAGGCAACGTCCTCCAAATCTGCTTCCTTCGCTTGCAGGCATATGCACCGATGTAACAAATCTGAATTCTAAAATAGCATAAAAAAATGTTTATTTTGTCTTTAATATTAACCGCATGTCATTTAATGCAAAGAACCATGTTATTATTTCAAAAACATGAATACTCATAGATAATGGAACATCAACCAAAACTTGGAAGCATCAACACAAGCCTTCTCAATTTAGTTTTCATTGTTATATAAGTAGATAAGAAACCAAGGAGTTAAACACCTCAAGTTTTTGCAAAACAGCACTCAAACGTCCAGGATGTTCAACGTGATAATCATCCCATTCACATCGATGCAGTAGCATTCTTGTATCTGAACCAAAATATACTTGTCTTTTTTCCATTCTGGATATTTTTTATTGGAGTCCAATGCTGAAAAGAACAAAACAAGGAATATATAGCCCCTAATAACTAATTTATGTTTTCTTTGACGAACGGATTGTGCTGACTTATTTTTTTCAGACCGCATTAAATGCAAATGTAAGCGCGGAACTGGACAAACTTGCCATCAAAAATCTTAACAGCAACCTATCTAAATCTTATCCTTCCAACCAACAATTCACCGAAACCTGATATACTACACAATTACTGAAAACAATGAAAGCAAATAAAGCAGTGCCACTGAGTAAAATGTTGCTCTGATTGCAAGTCTTAATTAGTGCGTGCTAAGAATAAAAGGTAGAAAAGATAATGCAAAGAAGGTTTGGTGTAAACTTATCTGTAAAATGCAGTAAAGTGTATAGTAAAGTGCTATTCTTTTCATCACGTAAACGTTTCCATGTTATTTTACGGCTGTTATATCTATAAAACTTGCAGTTCTTTGGCAAAAGTTCAAATCTATTATAAGGTGATAGCTGTGATTTTGAATTTATATTTGCAGTTGTTTGTAAAGTATGTATTTCCAATGTAGTGATGTTGTAATGTCTTTTACTTTTCTTGCCGCGTGGTGTAATTAAGCCATTTGTACAAAGACCACTCATTCCATGATAGTTATCAGTTGAATAATAAATTAGTAGATGTTTCTGCCATGACGATGTTGTGTTTATTTTCAGTGCTGCTACTTACAGCATTTTAGAAGTATTGGCATGAGGTAGTTGGGATTCACTTACGATTTACGGTATATTATTACTCATTGCACCTGAATCTAAAAAACCGTTAGAAATAAATTTTTATGTATTAGCATTCAGCTCAATGCCTTGCTGGTTGCCGTCATATTATTGAGATGTTTTTCATGTCGCATTGTAAGTACTGCAAATGTAACTGTTTTGCTTGTAGGTATGTTGGGCAACTTTTACGTATCCTTTTGAAGATGTTAGGATTTTAATATGCGAAATCTAAATGGATTTGTCTTTCTGTTTCTGTTTTCTTCATTAATTTTTGCATCATATGCAAATATTAGGCAGTTGCAATGACAGTATTGTTGGGCTATAATTTCATCTGAGAACGTATCAAATCAAATACTGTCTCTATCAAGCTAGAGTTTCGTATTTTGGTTTTTGTTATATTATTCACACTTACGATTATCGTAAAATTAGATTTGCTTTGTTTTAATCAGCAAATGCTCAGTACTTGTTATATTTTTCGAGAAATTCTTAAAGTTTTTTGCGGTTCCAATAAGACCACAAATTTCATTTTACAAACACCAAGTATATATTTTTCAACAGAATCTTGTGCAGCATTGAGTATTTGTTAGTGTTGGTCTTCTTGAATCATGATCTGTTTGACAATTGTCTGACATGGTAGTAATGATTTTCAAAGTTTCGCAACGCAATAGAAACATTAGGTTATCTATTAAATCAAGATTAATACTTCAGTAATCAACATTTACACTTTTCGTTGCATTTATCTCTTAAATTAAAAGCAGCGTGTAATTACAATTGTGATTTGACCCTTTAGAAAGTTGTCGCTGTAAAAAGTGCAGTTTATCGAACAAATTTTTGCACGCTTCATTGTCACGTGATAACAAGCATCGAGTTGATATAAAGAAGCAATTACGAGAACCACCACGCTGAAGCAAAGAGGTGAGGGCAAAGTGTAATGACCACATAGGAATTTGTAAATTTGTGGAATGAGTGACATCTGTTTCATATCGAAAGAGTATTAGATAAGTAATAAAAGTGTTAATATTCGGTGTGACAAGGAAATGAAATTGTAATATTAAAGGTAGTTGCAATGATATATTTTCATTACTTATAGAATAAGTTGATGACTTCTTAGTTGTTTCTTCCGACTAGGAATTAGTGAAGATAAAATACTACAAAACAACAATAGCATTTGAACATGAATGACTTCAATTTTACCCTTTGCTAGGATGGTAATAAGGAAAGATGGTGATGATACAAAATATTCAAGGTGTTTGAACTTCAAAGTACTGAAGCCATTCATTACCATGACTAAGATAAAACATGCTTTTGTAGTACTGTATATAGAAATTGTATTCAGTGTTTATAGTAGGAAAGGAGGGCTAACGAATTTCATTTGATTATCAGTAGTGGTAGAATGATAAATATCGACATGCATGAAGTTCGTGTTCATTGTTAATGGCATAATTAGATTCTTTCTAGTTTTGTGCATTAGATTGATCTTGTCATTCTTTATTTATAGGAAAACAAAAAGCTGTTCTGGTTGTCAGACTTTAAAGTGGGATCTTTTTGATCGAGGAGTTTACGTAATATTTTGGATACTAGAATTATTTAACCAAGCAAGTACTAGGTTGGTCAGAAAACAAGTCATTCATTTTATAGGTTGTTTTCACTTGTACATCTTGTGTTGGCCTAATCCTTTTGATAGTATGTTTTACGTGGGTTTATTATCTAGTGTTATCTACTCAATCAGGTCTTGGTTTCAATGAATACCAGAAACTAACTTAATCATATGCAAACAGTTTATAAATTGTAGTGTGTTGAGCACCAGTTGTTTTATAGGCTTTTTCACTCTCATCTTATGAGAATTCTCCATACTATGTTTCCAGCATTTAAAGTTCTTTAAAATCTGTAAAAGATGTGTAAAAATCATAATAATAAACCATGTTATGTTGTAGATGTAGAAATAAATAAGAACCAAATGGAGTAGGTGCCCCATGTGGGTGACAAGCTGGAAATTTCTATCATAGTAATTTTTTTTAATACGTTTCATTTTAGCAGTGTGTAATCGGTTGTGCTGGAATGAACTTAATGATAATTTTAAAAATGCTAGAAGGAAACGCACCATAAGAAATGAAACAATTGTGTAGGTTATGTATTGGAAATGTATTCATTGGCAATAGTGAGGTTGTTACGGAGATTTTTAATGCTGAAGAAGTAGGAAATTTGCGTTTATGCTTCCTGTTTTCTCTATTATGTCAGGGAAGAAACTAGTTTAATCATCTATGGTATATGCTTCTCCTATACAATGGATAGGCATAATTAGCAAACATGAAATATACAGGGAAGAAAGCTAGATATCTAGTCTTTATGTCTTTTTAGTGCTGTTTGTCGAGTCATTATAACAGATTCAGTGAAATACATAGATAGAGATGTTGTCTTTACATTTAATTTTGAAAAGTCTTGATGTTGCACATTATGAGTGTTAATTCATTTTGTATGTACTGCAGCATGCTTTACTAGTTTTTTTTTTTTTTTTGTTGTTGCAGTAGGTCAAATTATTGATAGTTTGACTTTTTATTCGTTTTTCAGCGAAATTTCAGGCTAGATGGAGCAGTTCATTTGTCATCTAATTAGTAACGAATACATCTCACAGAAATTAACTTTTCGAAATTTGTGCACTCGTGCTTGCTTTCTAGCTTTCAAAAATTATGGAATAATTCTGTCATGTCTGTTACTGTTAGTTATTTGATATTAATCGTCAAATGTGTTTCATATTAGTTTACTAAAATAAAGAAATAACTCCATCAGGAACATTAAAGTTCGTGTTGATCTTTATGGGTTGGTAGAACGATAGCAAAATTAAGCTAGAAATGATGATGGAAGAATTAATATTCAGTCTTTCCGAGGTAATTTCTGTCTTTCAAGGAAAGTCTGAAAGGATTAGAAGTTATAAGTAAAGTTTAAGGAGTGTGTAAAGTTTGTTTTAGGATATACTAAATAGATTTATCGTGGGCAAGATTGTTGATAAGTCAGTATATTAAAGGTTTCTTGTAGTGGTTTAGAATTATAAATTAAGTAGCAAAAAATTGAAAATTTGCGAATTATTCGGAACTAAAGAGTGATATCATGTGAAGATAATTGAAGACATTGTTGTTTCCATATTAACTGATCTACTGAGAAAGTTTCAAATGAGTGTTTCTAATAAATTTCATATGCATTCACAAACTACTGAAAATTTGCATACAAAAAATGTATGTGAAGGATATTTAAAAACTAAATAAAATGGCAAAAACAAATGTTTTGAAGGTTGATAACTCTTTATTCTCTGATGTTCGTTGTCATACATAATCAGATGATAGCTCTTATCATTTCTTTTTATTTATGTCTGCGTGATCATTATTTTTTTAGTTCATTTTTTATCATTGAAAGGGCTGATCTATGTTACGTTTTTACACATGTATATGGATTGAAAGTTTTTTTTTTTGTTTGCATTGCAGGAGATGATATATGTTTCGTGTATAAATTCCTGTAGCATAAGAGTTTTCGGCATTAAAAATTTCGCCTATCACTCTTTAATTCAAATAGTATTATTTATAACTGCAAATGTTGCACGCTCGTTTACTGTTCACAAACTGATTCAATCACGGTAATAAAATCCGAAGCTTCATCTTTCAGTCCGCTGTGCAAAAATTTGAAAATGTCAGATACAGGTCGGAGCCCAGGTCGTGCAGCACGAGCTGGATCTGGTGGGGCTGCAGTCCGTCAAAGGCGCGGTGGTCCTTCAGCAGGTTGTCCAGAACAGCTTAAATTTTATATGAATGTTAATTTTCTAAGGTTTGATCGTATAATATAATATCAAATTCCTTCCAATTTTCAAGGTTTTGTAGCATGATTTTTTATATTTCACTATTTCACTGTTAACCAGTGTATTTATTCACGATTTGGAATCAAATTTGTATGTTGCCAGGTTCAGGACGCACAGCTCGAGGTGGCGTAGGTAGTGGTGGTCTTTGGCGTTTTTACACCGAAGATGCAACAGGTTTAAAAATTGGACCTGTCCCGGTGCTTGTCATGAGTCTCGTTTTCATTGCATCTGTTTTCATATTGCATATTTGGGGAAAGTATACTCGCTCACATCACTGATTCCTGCATATTAAAGTATCACCTCAAACTTGTCAAAATGAGATGAGAAAAGTAGGTGAAAAGAAATTAGGAAAGTCGATGTCTGGGCAATTTTAGAATAGCTTCACCATTAGTGTTAGTTTACAGAGGATTATTTCTTTTTGAATGTGGGAATTAACATTTCATGTTGAAAACAAATAATGTCGTACTTTGTTGCAGTGATGATTTATGATAGCTGTTTGTACATTATATCTGTTGCAGAAAGTTAAAATCACTCTGAATGTTTCACGTGGTATAATTTTGGTCGGGCCCGAAAGTTTTTTTTTGCAAGAACTGTGTAATATAGTAATGAAGAGATTCTGGCATTAGCATGCGCATTGATTCTATAGAAGAGGATTTCAATCGTGATTAGTAATGTCCCGCTAGAAATGCACGGAAGTCTTTAAAGTTTACGCACGGGACCATCTCTTTGCTCTGTTTGTTATCTCTGTTTTGTGTAATAGTTTGTAGCATTGCTGCAATTTTATTCGATATTTGAGATGATATATATATATATATATATGCATAACTATAGATAATGAAATTTTGATCGGACTGCACTCATTGGTTTTTGGCTATCATCTTAAAGTATGCAATACATGAGTCTGCATTAAGGAAGCGTTGTCAAAATGTTTCAGATTTCTGGGCTAAGAATTTCTTTAAGTCTTGGTGGTTAGTAGTTAGATGCGGTAACCTCTATGAGGATTGTTGAGTAAGTTCTGAAGTATATGGATTGTTTCGATATACTCTGGGTTAATTTTTCAAGGTGAGAAATAATGTGTAGGGAGTATTGAGGGTAGGTAGATGGTGAAGTCTGAACCTAAGTGCTGATAGGATTCTACTGGAATATAGGATTTGGAAAATAAGAGTAGATAATAATTTATGAATTATGATAGTCATAGCTGTAGGCGGTATGTAATGGAAAATACCTCCTAATTCTTTGAGTGCTTTAGATTTCAGAGGTCTCCTGCAAATTGTGTAACAGTTAGTGGTCATGTTAAGCTTAGACCTGGTGTTATTTGTAGTTTCATTATGAGTACTGTTTTAAGTTTAATTTCATCGTACTTTATTAAGCAAGCAAAGAGCAGTTGCAGCTCATTTTAGTAGGAAAAGATTTCAGTTTTTCACAACTCCTAAGGTAGTTTCACCCAATTGAGGTAAATCTTACTAGCAGTTTTCCGACGTGCAAATTGTTATGTATATGGAACGGGTAAGCAATTTAAAGAACCAACTTTAGCGTGCTTCGTCATGCTTGAATTAAGTACTTCACCATGTGAAGTGGAAGTTGTGTGGTCGATTATGATGGATTATGGTATGGGTATTATTTTGATATGCTTATTGTTTGATGCCGGGATGTAAGAAAATCTCGACCGAAGAATCATTAGTAATTTCGCTGTAGTCATTCTGTGAAATTCTTCGCACCATCAATGTTTTCTTCTACATAATGGCAGCTGAGGAACACGGGTCGTTCTCTTCTATACTTACACCATTTCATGCATAGGGAAGTTTCTTGGTCTTTCATATACTCATATTTCTTTCATATCACATTTGTTCTGTGAAAGATTCGATTGAGAAGCAATTCAAGCAGAATAGATTAGCCTTACGGAAAAGGAAAGAAATGCTTAAAGAATGATGTAGTGACTCTTACATGGGAGTGCCGTGTATGTAAAAGAATTGTGATATAATGGTGAAATATTAGGTTTTCATAATGTGATACTTTCAGAAGTTTTTCCACTCAATACTGCGTTTATAATTTACGTGTAGAGTGTTGCGTGTCGTTGAAAGGATTCATTTTGTTTATTGTTTTGTGTAGTTGATTTACAGATTATGCGAGGTAAAAGATCAGAAAGTAAAAGAAAAACGGAATCTACGAAGGAAGAGGTAAAAATTAATGAATTTGTTGGATATTTTACCTCTATAAATTTTGTTGGATATTTTACAATCAAAAAAAATTGAAATTTGGATCTGTTGAAACAGTTGCAGGATTTGTTGAATGAGCAAGACTTATGTATCGAAAAAAAGGACAAAAACATGACACTGAAAAAATTGAAATTATTTGAGGTTAGCTCTTTGTTGTATTAAAGTGTTATCATTCCATGTGATCAATGCAAGTTTTATTTTGGGAAGTTCCTGTAGAGTGTGGTTTTTTGAGTTTATGCTGCTCCTGCACATTTCAGTTTCAGGCTTCTGATCATTTGCCTGAAGGTACATCTGATTTCGATACAACAGGTTGTTATTTTACTCACTTTTAAACTTTAAAAGTTGCAAATGATGCCAAAATATTGTGTTTAAGTTTATTTAAAAATAATTTTAACTGAAAACCTTAAATTGTAATTTTGGATAAGCTACAAACACTTAAGAAAGAGTGTTGAACCATTATTTAAAAGTTGAGATCGAACATTTTGCTTAATTCTGTAAATCTCACTCTAGAGCTGCTCATGTTGAATGCTGGGATGGTTTTTATCCTCTCTTCTAGATGTTGCTCAGTCATAATATAAAACATAGTTGAAATGGAAATATTCAGTTATTGGTTCATTGTGTATTAAAATCATATCTTTTATCTCTTTCTAAATATTATCTTTTATTTGTAAAATGCAAAGCAATTCTGAGTTTTTGGTTACTTTTTCTTGTTTTATCTTGTAGTATTCTTCTTTCAGAAGATGTGCTTTGAGGAATTATTAGCTTAAGTTATCATGTTAGCTCATGAGTGTACTTCTGATTTAGTTTTTTTTTTAAAAACTTTATCATATTTTGGTAGTTTTTCATTTTATTATTTTTGGAATTACCGTAACGTTATTTTGTGAAGTTTATTTTTTGACATAGCGATAGTATCTAGTTTTAGTTTTCTTAGTTCTGTATTTTTGTATATCTTACATCAGGTTTTTTCTGTTGATTCATTATCCAAGCTGAAATTTTGTCTGGTTACGAGCAGCAAAATTCCTATCAGTGCAACTGCCATTATGGATAATTGTTTAAAGTTTTCAGGTGAAGATAGCGATGTTGAAGGAGATAATTACTCCTCTGATATTTCGTATGATTCAAATTCAGAAGACTTACCAATCGAGAAGAAATCTCGGATTATGGAACGAAACAAATACAAATGCGAGTAAGTAATCATTTAGCTATTTAAATGGTTTCTTTTTTTCAACAGTTTTTCAACAAAACTTATGTTGTGTTAAAATCTTTGTTTTACTAGAAAAGTGATAGTGTGAAATTTGAATTAATGAAAAATCAAAATGTAATGGAAAATTTTATGAAAACCTTTGCATTGTGCTTAGTCAACTTCTTTTGTTGGTGGTTTTTAATATCACTCATTAGAAGAATATGTCAAAAAATTTCAGAATTTCAGCATGTATTTTATTCATTAGTTTTTGAGAACAGTAATGGTTGTTGAACAGCATAGTTAATAAGCACAATGCAAAGGTTTTCATAAAATTTTTCGATAATCTGAATTTGGTAGTAGTAGTTGAACTAAATTTATCTCGTTTTCAATCTTCTAGAAAATTGGCTTGTGAAGAGTTAACATTAAATATCGAAAGTGGAGAAACTTATAACTTGCCATCAGTTGATGTTATTGAAAAAGAACTAAAACAGGCACCTAATTTGCAAATAATCAAGCAGCGTATTTCTGATATTTTCCAAATACTTGGTGATTTCAAAAATCGAAGAGATCCAAAACGGTGTAGTTACTTATTTTTCGACATTACCAGTGCAGTTAATAAAGTTTATTTTGTCATATTTTTGATCTATTATGAACAAATCTAATAATTATCAGAACTTCATAATTTGACTTACGTTTATTTGCAAGTAAAAAGATGTTTCTTGCTGTTCATAAAACCTGGAGTCGTTTTTAAATACTGTTATTTAAGATATAAAATTTTCTGCTTTAGAGTGATATCTTGATTAGAAAAGTTGGTAAGATTTTGTAAGTCGTGGACAATGTGAATATTTTCTCAAAATTTTTTTAATATTTCGGCCATTATTTTAGAAGTCGAATGGAATATGTTTCCATTCTTACAAAAGACCTATGCAATTATTATGGTTATAATGAATACCTTATGCAAAAATTCATGAACATTTTTCCAAATGGAGGAGAGGTTAGTAGAACTGCGGTAACGTTTCAAGTATTTTCCTTTAATTGTTCAACCTTTCTCAAATTTGACTATATTATTTCATTATTTTAGGAATTGAAAATTTTAAATAATAGTGTAACTGCTTTTTGTTTCTTGTACTCTTCTTGTTACCACATCACCCTATGTCTTTAATACTAGTGTTTTTTCTATACATTTGATCATTTTTGTAGTCTTATTGATTTCAGTTACTTGAATTTCTCGAAGCAAATGAGCAACCTCGGCCAGTGACTTTAAGGTCAAATTCACTGAAAACTCGGCGTGTTGAATTAGCGAAAAATCTTATTAATAGGTCGGAATTTAGTATCTTTTTATTATCCATATAAATGAATGCTATCGTCTAGTGATGGAGAAAGCTGAAACAACTCAGCCACATATGTTATTGTACTTAAAAAGTTCTTGTTTTTGTCAGTATTAGAAGTGTTATAGAGGAATGAACGTTGATCCAGCTGCAGCGTGGAACAAAGTTGGTTTAATTGTTTACGACAGCCAAGTGCCCGTAGGTAAGTTTGTTCTGCATAATTTTTTTCAACTGTCAGATCAGTTCTGTGGAGTTGATTCATACCGCTTAATCTTTTACATTAGTGGTCTTCAGGTGCAACACCGGAATATCTTGCTGGGCATTACATTATTCAGGGATTAAGTTCCATGCTTTCGGTTATGGCTTTGGCACCACGACCGGAAGAAATTATTTTGGATATGTGCGCTGCACCAGGTGGTAAATCATCTCATATTGCCGCGTTAATGAAAAATACTGGAGTTGTATATGCCAATGATATTAGCGTATGTACTTTTTATTCCTGAAGACGTAATACTTTGCTTGTTTCTATGTGTTAGATTTTTTCTCATGAGAAAACAAGGATGTTTCGAAAATACTGCTTATTTTCTGTTTGGATGCATGTGTCTTTTCATAAGAAAGGTATTTGTAAGTAGTTTTTTTTTCTACTTTTAGCTGGCATCACTTAATTTATAGATGCCACGTTGTCTTGCTATAATCGGTAACTTGCATCGACTGGGTGTCAATAATTCGATAGTTAGTAATTTGGATGGACGAGAATTTGCAAAAATTATGCCACAGGGTTAGTAAGTTGCAAAAATTTATCTCATTGAGGCCAATTTAGCAGCAAGCAGACTAAAGCTGTAAAGAATATGAACTGAATTTCTAACGATTATCACATGCTTCGTTGAAAAGTACTTCTTTCTTTTCGGGATACATGTGAAGGAATTTTCGTTCGCAGTTCTTCTGTTATTAAACTTTTGTTTTGGTCATATTCAGCGTTGTTCGTACTTGATACTGTTTAAAAGTAAAAACCTGCTTACTTGTTTCAAGGCTTTGATCGCGTTTTGTTGGATGCACCATGCTCGGGGACGGGTGTAATCTGGAAAGATGGTAGTGTGAAAACACGAAGAGATAGTCAAGATGTCCAGCGCCGGCATACTTTGCAGAGGCAACTAATACTTGCTGCACTGGATTCTGTAAACGCAAATTCAAAATCTGGTGGTTTTATCGTTTACTCCACATGTTCTGTTCTCGTCAGTTTTTTAATTTCATATATTTAGTTAACTGTTTCAAGTTTTAAATCTGAAACTTGTGTTTTTTTTACGTCATTATCTTTTTTATTGTAGATAAATTGTACGTTCTTACATGTAGCACGTCAAATTTCATTCTTTCATTAAAATTTATAGGAAAAAAAGCTGATTAATTAGATATTTTCTTGGTTTTATTTAGGTTGAAGAAAATGAAGCAGTAGTGAATTATGCCTTGTCAAAGCGAGATTGTAAACTTGTACCTATGGGATTAAATATCGGTGTAGAAGGTTTTACCAAGTGAGTTATGCAGTTTTTAAGTTTGTCGGAAATGAAGTTTGTACGCTAAAATTTATTTCTCTTGATATTCATTATCTCAGCAAAAAGTTTTTTGTTTTTTTAGGTTTAGAGAATATCGTTTTCATCCATCGTTGAATTTAACACGTCGGTATTATCCGCATGTTCATAATGTCGATGGATTTTTTGTAGCAAAATTAAAGAAGCTATCAAATGCAAAGCAGGTAAGCTTTGCTTTTAGAATGACTAGTTATTTGATAAGTACACTAGTTATTTGATAAAAACGTATGGAAAATACGTGAGTAGCATGTCAGTTTGTGATAATTGCTAATCATTTTCCAAGGTTTAGACTTGTTTTATTTACTGAAATGTTTGATCTGTGAAGTTTCACATATGTAAAGATAACAAAAAGAATAACTGAATATTTACATGTTTTCAGAAAAATGCAAATATAATTTCGGAAATTGAGAACAAAGTATCTTCGATTCAAAATATGATTACAGATGATGATAATTCCCCAATTAAAACTAAAAGTAAGTTTTGAATGAAATTTCATCACTTCATTACAGTCCTCGTATATATCTAAAATTTCTCAGAAAAAATATTTAGAATTTCACATATTTCATGTGGGCAAACGTAAGCAAATATCACATGCAGAATACTTAAGAAATTTATTATGAACTGTTGTTATTTATGAAACTATAGTGGGTAATAGTCAAACAACAATAGTAATTTTTTTTCAATTTACGACCAAGTGTAAGTATAAACGAAATTAGACATCAAGAATGTCGCATTTTTGTCTCATTACATAACTTTTGTCTTTCTAGTCTCAGTAATTATCTGTTTCTGCACAGCGTTGCTGTATATTTAAATAAAAACTGTTTCATTATTTAAGAATTTTATTTTTAATCATAATTTATAATCATTTTTTGAAACTTTCAAAAATTTATGCCAGGATTTCAGGAAAATTTAAAGTGAAAAAGAAATGCGTTATAAGAGATGGAATCTTTGGGAAGGTTTGTGATCTTGTTTTAATTGACGCTGGGAATATATTAAGAAGTCTTATTTCTACTATAAAATTTGAATTTTTGGAGGGAATGTGCTACATAATTTCAAACTGGTGTTCAAAATTAAAATACTCTCTGAGCTGCTGTAACTAAGCAGCTCTCATGCGGCTCTCAATCGTTTATTCTTGTGAACAAGAATTCAGTTATTACCATCCATTTGTTAGAAATGCAGAAATCGATTCAGTAAATTAATCTTGTTGTGAGTTGAACAGTACATAGTCGTTATGAAAAATTTGCTCAAATTATAATTATTAATAAATATTGACATCATTTTTAGGAACTACCAATTGAAGCTATGACTATTAGTAATTTAAATTTAACTTCGGATAAACAAACCAGTGAAAAACTTTCGTCTAATAGGCTAAATTTGAAAAGAAAAAAGGGCAAGCTAACGACAACAACGGGAAAAAAATTAAGGAAATAATTGGGCATGCAGCCTTCGCAGTTCAGAAAAAGAAATTGTTGATCTGATATAGTTTTTCCTAAGTATTTTATTCATTTGTTTCGTATTAACTTTTGTTGTGTTTGAAATTTGTTTATATTATAATTTTCGAATTCGTTCCAAATTGGAAAAATTTTTCATAATTTGAACATTAACGAGTGTTCTTGATTTCTGTTCCTATCAATAGATTAATATTCGTAGCATTGGTTTTTGGAGATTTTTTTCCTATGAAAATCATTTGATAATAGTGAATGTAACGGAGAATCGCGCTCACTATTTTTGAGGAGAAAAACAGTAGAAATAGGAGTACCCTATATTCATTAGTACGAAAGCTAGTGATGCAATAACAAGAATCTTCTGGAAGTGAAAGACCAGGGAATATGTTTATGTAATTTTTTGTCGTCAAAATTTTTTTCTTGTTTGGAAAGTTTTCATGCTTTATAATACTAGTATTATACTGCTAAACTTGTTGCCTGGGATGTATTGTTTGTAAGCAAGTAACATTCCATTGCTGCTAAACATATTTCGCCACTGTTGTTGTTTTTAGAATTTGAAGTTAAATTTGCAGTTTCATTACGTTTTTTTCGGACTTTATTAAATAAGAGGAATATGAATGATTTTTTATTCTAAAATTATTTCACTTTTAAACATATATGTCATGGTTTGCATATATGTGAATTAGGATATCGTTCTTTGAAACGCGAATTGGAGGTAGTAGATCATTGAAGTTGATGGCCTACTGTTAATGTTTTGAATCATCTTTAATAGCAACTTCAAGATTTTGTGATGTTACCTTCATGAGTTCAAGTATTTGAAGTATTCTCACAGACCAAGTTTTGCGTCATTATCCTTTTTACCGAATTAAGTAATTACAAGTGTTTTTGGCTTTAATTGATCATATTTTTTAACAAGATCATTTTCTAAAGGTTCGGATCCGATCGTTTTGATTATATTACATAACCTACTCAGTAATCAGCAACCATGCTTTGTTATGGGAGGATCGGTTGTCATTTAGCTCAATATTTTATGCGCACACTTTGATTCAGCTATAATGATGTAGTATTAATCCATATATCTGTTTATGACACAATATTATAATTTGTGTGGTGATTCAGATACCTCGAAAAAAAGTTGGGATACGATTAACAAGAATAACTAGAAACTGATGTAACTTAACAGAACATTCTGTGATTCGAATTCTATTCTAATACGTATTTAGAATGAATCAGATAAGTGTAAATACTTCACTAATTAGAAAAAGAAATCGTAAGATATTTGTTCAGCTATAGGTGTTGGAGGCACGTCACCGTGAGAATGTAAGTTATCTAAGTTTGTTGGCTGGTGAAAGATTGGCTGGTCTCCGGCAGCCTCGTCATTTCCATACATCTCATCTAAGAAATAAGTTATGAATTCCTCTGGAAAAAATGATATGCCAAGAATGATTTGCCACGTAATCAGTGGCAACATCAACTGAGTGATAAGCGTAATTGGTGCTTCTGTTGTTGTGTATCTGGAAACTTGTATATTCGCTGTATTTATATAACTTTATAATTATTTGTTCTAAAAAATGCGCTACGTTGGCTCTCTGTGCTCATGGATTTGTGACCTTTGTATCTAATCATTTATTTAAATATATAGTTTCGTTTGCATGAAGCTGTCACTTACAGTAAGCAACATTTTTTGATTGTTTTACAAGAATTTCACTGCGATAATTGTTGAGTTTCAGTGGATTAGAATAGTAAATTTTTGCAACGTGTCAGAGTACTACAAGAAAGTGTTTGCCTTATCTTATGAATGATGTAGAATAGCCAAATGGTTAGAAAGTGCTTTTTCCTTTTGTCAACCTATTTCCTCTAAGCATTGGCTACGACTTTTGTATTTTAAAGTTGTATTAAAATGTAAAGTTTTTGGAAGTCAAAAATTTTCCCATTCCGCTCAATTTCATCTTCCTGTCTGCAGCTTTTCAGGTTTCTACTTAAGCATCAATTTTTTCATAAATATGACCTGTAAAGAAGCATAACGATCGTTAAATTCACTCCAATGAAAGCAAATATCAGTTTCCCAGTAAATGATATCGGCATTTATGGTTGTTCCATATGTTAGTGCGACCTGTCGGAGAGTGGTTTTGAAGTGAGAATAACTTATTAGCAACTTAAACACATTTATAACGTATTAGAAACTTATTCTGCGAGACTGCCACCAAGTGCAATATGTGCATTATTTTCGTTTGCACATGACTGATTCTGATGCTGGATCTTGTTCCGACAGTCCCGTTGCACTCGCCTGGCGATCAGTTTTGTTGTGCTAGTCTCTGTCGCTTTGTTCAATTCAGCCGTTAATCGAACGGAGTGTTTTCTAAATCTTGAGCACTATCGATTGGAGGATGTATGCCTCGACATGACCAGATATAATTATATATCTTTCTCGTAACGTTTATGGAAGCTTGTCGCTATCTCATCTCAAGTCATTACATGCGAAATTTCTTTCGTTCCGTATTTCATCGCTGCTTTGAGTTAGTTTATTAGTAAGCATATCATACTTCCGTTTTTTCTTAGTCTCGACTGCTATTAACCTGTCCTGACCAGTGATGCCAACTTCTATCACGGGAGTACTTCATATCCCTTCTTATCGCATATCGATTCTGATCTCTACATTCTCGTTCGGGACGACCTCCTGAACAGAACGGCTTTGCAAGCGCGGAAATGCTTTCAGACCATACTTCTTGCAAAGTCCCAAGTGGATGCATCGTAGGACCTCACTGTGTCTTCTAGTATAGTCGTGATGTAACATTTTTTCACACTGCGTTGCTAGATGGTCTTCACACTTTCCCTGAAATGTTGGCACATACCTTTCTCAGCAAGAAACATATTTCTATCTTGAAGATAACAGTATCGTGCCTCATCTTGT